TTATTTGGTGTAAGAATGTGATGTTTCTTAAAAAGCTATTTCAACTTGTTAATAATGTATGATCCGTCGTCATGGAAACCAAACTTAGTGTAAACCCCGCAGTAGATCGACCTCGCAGTGCAGTGTCATGTCACTTCAGGCTCAACACCGAAAACTGTGAACCTGGGATGCACTTTCTATAGTCGTATTGTTCCAGTGCAATAAGCCCCTAGCAGGCTGGCTTTTATATTGTGTGTGTAATAGGCACTCACAGATAAATAAGCTGTTATTTTCCCGGGCTATTTAATTAAGTGTTGCAATAACAAAATAAAGAAGGTAACCAAACTAGCCAACCCAGAGGTCACTTCTCACACAATACTGTATGAAAAAATAATGAAAATGCACTAATAACATCAAGTTTTATTTCATCAATTACTAGGGTTGTTAAAGGTCCTACATTATGTCAAATTGACTCTTTTGAGCTTTAAGACATGTTAGAATGTTGTTATCACGTCAAAAACATGTTTAGTTTCATTCATTTGAGTAAACCTTTATTATTAACCTGTCTATGGCTACGTTTATATGATGACGGTCTGAACAGAAGACGCAAAAGTGGCATCGCGTCTTCACTTTTAATTCCGTGTTTAGACGAGTGTTTTCAGGAGGAAATCTGCATACATACGGTAAAGCAAAAGTGTGTGGAATTTGATTGGGTATGCATGCCAGACAGCTAGGTGGTGACGCTAGGTTGTGATGTGATGTAAATGCATACGCGATGTGAGCAGATCTGAACAGAGTTTTGCGTCTTGTGCAGTGTAGACGGAAATGCTACGGCGGAACATATTCAACTTTTCCACTCTGGAGCATGGTTTCAGATTTTTCTATTTTTAAGCCCCAAAAACGCAGTCACCGTCTAAACGAAAGGCACTTCCGATAAAATATTTTGTCGTTTTTACCCACAAGCGTTCTCGTGTAAACAGACTCTACATCTCCAAAGCTCAAAATGCTCTGTTCTAACATGTGATGTCATGAAGTGGTAGTTTTCAAGTCAACATCTACATCTTTTGTTCAGTAGAAATCTGTAGTTTCATGACTGAAATTATACAAATGATTCTCGTGAAGGTGCATGGAGTTTAAAAACATGATGGAGCACTTCCTGTCTTAGCACATGCCATCACAAGGTTGAGCAGACTTTTTCTGTCTGAGAGAAGAATTCAGCCAAAATATGCAGAAATTGCAGAATGAAACAAAACACAATTTGAGGTACTGTATGTTTGCAATGAGGAAACAACATTGAAACAGAAAACAGTGTAATATGGGCCCTTTAAAGGCGGATTTTAGCACATTTCTGACGAACGGTAATATCTTCTGATCATTATTATTGGACATGGCAGATGATGATGATGATGATGATGATATGTACAGACAGTGTAGGATGCTCTATGCTCAGGCAAATACTCTCATGTGTAAGTTTGGTTCTTGTATAAATGATGTAAAGTTGTTATTGTTTAATTCATATTGTACGCCATTGTACACAGCCCATTTTTGGATTCATTGCAAAAAAGAGGTGGACTACAGTGATGCTTTGCGGTGCTTTTGAGGAGGCAATGATGGACGAGTGCGACTGAGATGTTTGTTACTGCATGAGTGAACACTATGCAAGATGCACTAAGAATTTTAATGCGCAGTTTTATTTACAGCCTGAACAAATCAGACAATCAAATAATAATGTCACTCACAAACATGGCTGTCTTTTATTTTGTAATGTCACTGTACTTGTCTGTTTTAAAAATGATGATGATGACGATGACTGGGATAAATCTAAATCGGAAAAATAAAAATAGCGTGTTTTTTTGTTGTTTTTTTTGGTAACACTGCTCACTAATAACTAAACTTATGTGCATCTTTCTATCCAGTTTTTTGGATTTCATTCTGAATATTTGGATCTGGATGTCCTCTCCTTTTATTTGGGCTGCAGTTGTCGACTGTGATCATCCTGAACTCACCTTCCGTACATCTACGCGAGATGAGAGCAAGCAGAGGGCGCAAAATGGAAATGGTAATAAACATGCTAATGGTAGTCTGCGCGTTCGGGAGAGAAAGCTGCTTCAAGCTTTCCCTTGGCAACCCGACTGTATATTGTTGTGTGTATGTGTGTGTGTTTGTGTATGTGTGTCTGAGTGTGCGCACGCGAGGCAGAGTAAACAGGAAAAGCTGCAAGTGAACGTGCCACCTTTCCCTTTCAATCGGCCTCTGGAGACAGTGCAAAGGGCCTTTTGTTGGCTCATTGGCGAGATAAGATGTGGGGACAGGGAGGAGAGGAGGGGGCCACGCAGAGTCGCCGAGCCAGCTTTTTTCTGCTATAGGACGGAAGCACCCCTCTCAATAGGAACTCATTTGCCATGTTGTGTAATTGTAGCACAGAATGGAACACACCTCATTCAGGCTGCCCAAGGCTTTTTCTGAGCCATTTTCTCTATTCAAAACCAAACAAGTCGTGTTTTAGAGAGATATTAGACCGCCTTTTGAGCTCAGGGCCACGCGTATTTGCCTCTGAATGGGATGTTTTGTGTAATCAAGATCATTTTTTTGCACCGCGTCCATTATAAAAGAGCCCCCCGTCAACAGACTTGATATTTGTCATTTGACTTTTATTCTCACTGCTCTCGGAAGGTAAACAAAGTGGGTGACCTTTAGCGCCCGGGCTGTTATTGGTTTGCGTGGAGAAGTGCGCCGCATTAACCCAAGCTAACAGAAGGTGTCAGTTAAAAGGCGCGTAGCTAACCGTCTCGCCGTCATCAACATATGCAGGGTAATCATAAGAATTATTCTCATGTTACACGGTCACTTGAATATCTCCACTCAAGTACAAGAGATGAAAAATGACTGATTTGAAAATTATTGCTGAGCTGTTCCATTAAACTACCACAGGCTGGAAATGGATGTCTATTTGCATAATTTAACTGGCATCTTAATTATTGTGTCAGGAATCTGTATGCAAATGACTTAAGTCACTTAGAGACGGGAAACTTACTTGGCTAAATGGCTAATAGACTGAATCTTATCACGTTAGAAAATAAAACGTGAGTGTAGCCATAGTAATTTGATCTCTGTGTCTTTCTCGTGGCTGTTCCTTCTCATTGGTTACTCAAGTAAATCATCTGCCTTTATTTAACCGTATTCATCCTCTTTTGCAACAACTACAGTAAAAAATATCTCATTGGTTTCAAATATTGGTGAACAATGTTAAAAACACTAAGGAAAGGCTAAATATTCAGTACAAATTTGAATACCACAATAATGATGGTAATAGCACTTTTCAACCGTAGAGTATAAAGAAGTGGACTCCATAGCTTTCGGCTCCAGTCAAATGAAGCTCATCAGGTTGGCACAGGGGTCTCCAACCTTTTTCCTCCGGTGAGCAACTTTTACAAAACGAAAATGCCAGAGAGCTTCTAGTTTTACGGGTCACTGAAAGTTTTGTATATTTAAGAGCCACAGCGAGCCTTAGATGAGGTACAGTTAAATGCCTATAAAACAAATCTTTATCTGTTTATTAGTGTACAAAGTTAGGCATCAAAATAATACATGTGCAATCGTAATAGGCATTTAATGAAGCAAATTTTACTTATTCAGCACAATACGTGTAATTCAGAAATCCCTTGGCGAGCTAAAATAAAATAGCTAAATATAAACTCTAGGATCGGGTTAATCATAAAGATTTTAGTACCAAAATAACTAAGCTCACTGCAGCAGTTACAGAGTGTAAAGTCGATTGGAGTCAGAGTGATTTCCTTTTCGGGTTTGCTATGTCTGTACAGTTTTCAACCCAACACAGCAGTACTTTATTATTATAATTTAGATTTAGGCCAATTTTCTTTCTTTTTTTTTTTTCAGTATTGATACTGCTGCAGATAAGTACTAGCTTTGATACTAGTTTCAGTATTAAGTAGTACTTAATGATAACCCTATCCTATACATCATTGTTTCCCAAAGACTGGGTCACAACACTTTTTTTTTTGGGTCGCCTTATCACGATCTGCATGTAGATCTGCAATATACAGGGCTACATTTAATGTCCAAACAAGCGACTTATGGATCCTTTTATTGCTGGTGGAATTATTGTTTTTCATTGTTTAAAACCTGAGTAATACTAATTGTTCAGAGAGACACGATCACTGAGTCATCAATAAAGTATCCTCATTAATGTTCAATAAGGATGTAACGATATCCAAATCTCTCGATACGATATTATCACGATATGCATCTCATGGTACGATATTTATTGTGATATTTTGGAGAGGCTGATATAATTGTAGAGAGGATGCTTTTTTGCTTTTAAAATACCCTGCCAAGATTTAGATGTGAATTATTTCTGTCATAATCCCAAGAATTCAAATAAAAACATATTTCTTGTTGTCTGCGCTGAAATGAATCATGGGATATGTAGTTCCTGATGTTTATTAGCTATTGCTACTATAAAAAAATGTATTTAAGCAAAAGAACTTGTAATTTCATATATTGTGACAGCCCACGATATTATTGTGAGACTTTGACGATATCGCGATATTTTCGGTTATTGGTACATCCCTAATGTTCAATAATGGTCAAATCCACCTTTATATTGCGATTTTCAAAAACTGACTTCACTTGAGTTTGTGATTTTTAAAATATAGGTCCCCAGAAAAAAAGTTTGGGAAGGACTTCTATACATTCTCTGTACAAGCTGGCCTTTTTGACATTACGTCCAAAACATCCAACCAAAGTTCTACCCATTATCACTATGGGTACGACAATAGGCAGACCATCTTCAGCTCTGCCTATTGTCTCCCATCGATTTCTTTTTTTAAATCCACCCATCATGTAACTCACTGTAAGAGTTTGCTGGCATCATATTTGTGTCATGATACGGAAGTGGAGAGGGCAGGAGAGACGAGAGTAAAACACAGCCTTACCTTGGTTAGCTGGGAGGGAATGCGCATGTTAGTAGGACAGTGTTTCTGTAGTGTAAAGAGACCTACCACGTAAAACAGTGAGTCTGGTGTTTGCGCTGATCTCTCCAACACTATTGGAGGCAACGCATTCATATATGGCTTCATCTCGGGGCGTGCGCAATGGCTGAATTCTGAGCACTGAACCAGATCCGTCGTCGAACTCTATCACCTGCAGGTGCGAGAAACAGGATATGTTACAGGAGATTTTTTGTTCCCAATGTTGCAAGGACCCTTCGTAGGAAATCAGAGTAAATAAAATACATGAAAAAAGTACTATATATAGGACATTTGGCTGATGGGGACTGACACAATGAGCTCCCTATGACGAACAAAGCTGCGTTGTGACTGTTGTGCTTGTACTGTATATTTTAATGCATTTTAAAGTGTTGAAGTTTCAGTAATGTTATCTAAATGTTGATATTGACATTAAATTGTAGTAGTATAGTAGGCCTGTCACAATAACAAATTTTGAAGTTCCATATATTGTTGTAGTAAATATAAACTATTAATGATGATACTGAATATAATCTATGTCACTGATGCAGATTTAAACCACAAAAACTATTCTAAATGTACAATACTGTTTAAAAAATCACACAAAAAACATTTTAATACATAGTTTGCATCTGTAAAACGTCATGGAAGTTATTAATTCAACCTTTTATGGCTTAAATTTGATAATTTACCCCAAGAAATTCCCAGAAAATGTACATGATAATTATAAGTATATTGTTCCATCTTTCATATATTAAAGGATAAGTCAATATAATAGTTATTATGACAGGCCTAGATGTTAGATTTTTAGTTCTCCTGTGTTGGACTGGCTTAACTGGGTCAAAAAAATAATGCATCTAACTTTAAGAATGGGGAGGCTTAGACTGATCCAGAATATTGTATTTCATGTAACGCTACGACAATTTAAAATGCTCCCCACTCTTAAAGTTAAGGTTTTGTCTTTTTAAATGCATCACACTGGCTTGGGTTAATGGGACAGAAACAAGCACAGACAGTTATAGGTGGCCTGGTAGAACATTACGGACATTGTACCATGAAGTGAAGTAGTGGTACAGAGGACAGAACCAACTGTATTGGACGGACGACACATAAAATGCTCACGAACAGGTGTTTGTTATAGCTTATTCAGCAGTTCTTGCATGCTACAGTTTTGGTATACTCACTGATCTTAGAAAGCCCTGTGTCATAACCCAATGTCTTTTAAGCATAGAGGTAGATTTGAATAAAAATAGGCCTGAGCCTCACATGCACGCTCCCTCATCCACGCACAGACGCACACACATACTACAAAAACTACAAACAGTTTAAATTCCACAGTATTTCTGAGTATTGGTTAACCAGTTATTGCTGCAGGCTAGCAGTGCTCAAGCTGATAGCAGGTAAGTGTGGAAACGGCACCCTTTCAAAATAAAAGCCAAGCTCAGAGAATTAGAGGATGTTGTGGAGGAAATGTGACTGTTAGAAGATGAGGAGCATTGCCCGATGGAATGAGCAGGAAATGATTGCAGCTAGCAAGCCCTGCAAGGCATTCTGGGAGGGAGACGTATCACTTTAGCATTCAGTATGAGTTGTCCGAATGCAGTGAACTCTGATAAGATTAGATTTTTGTGGCATGGGATGTAAAAATTCAAAGGCCTTTGCTGCTATGGAGCGAGCAGCAATGGCAATGAGGGCAAAATGTGATGCTAGGATGGTTTCTAGAACTGACACAGAAATTAATAGAAATCTTATCAGTGTTCTGCTATGGTTTGTTATTTCTCATGGGTATGGAGCAGTGCCTCAGCCCGTATGGGGAGAGTTGGACATGCATTAAGATAAAATGCCACAAAGCAAAAGGCTTTCTGGAGCGAAAGAGCCATTTCTCTTTTCACTTTGTAAGGCTGGCAGTGGCTGTGATGCTAATGTAACTATCTAGGTCACATGTTTACAGTTATATTGATCTTTTTGGGGCTTTCTTTTTATTCAATTACAAATCTGCCCTCAGATCTTGTGTAAACATGCTCATTAAACCTCATTCATGTTTAAGTAGTTGGCCAGCGAGGCTGTTAGAAGCTGCTAATGCGTGGTGGCAAGTCAGCGGCATGGATTATGTGCAAACAGAGCCAAAAGCAGTGCTGGAGCATTCTCTTTGTCGAGCATTTTACATCAGAACAATAGACCTAATACCTCAAATCTCTGGTTGCTGACTTTCTTCCCCTTCTTGTTCCACACAATCTTCGGCCGAGGGTCTCCTGTGGCTTGGCAAATGAAAGAGGCCACGCCTCCTTGCACGCCTGTTTGGTCATTGGGGGTTCTTAAAAACTTTGGTGGTGCTGCAAAGAGAGAGAAGGAAAACAGAACAAAAATAGTCTGATTAATCTCTTATCAAACATCACACAGTAGAAAGGAACTAAGTAGCAGATTTCAGCATGTGGCTGTTAAGAGGATTGCATGGATCAGAAGCTGAGATCACGAGTTAAAGGGGCCTTGGGAATGGTTATATGAAATCCCCAAAATTAAAATCAATTTAATAGTTTGATTTGATTAAAACAGCAGACCCTAAGTAGGCAGCGCTTGTTTCAAGTGTTATCCAGTCCAGTAGCAGACATTACTAATCTGTAAACGCCAAGGCTTTGAATGGTTAATACACTCCACAAATGAGGCGTACACCTGATAAGGTCCTGCTGCTCTCTGATTGGCAAAGGGAGCCTTTTTGAGCTCCTAATTGGTCCCTGGTTTGTACAAAGTGACTCAAGTGTGAAGACAAATGGATGAAACTGCTCCAAATGTTTGGGAGTTGAGGTGAGACAGTACAACAGTGTTTGCTTTGTCTACATGCAGCATGGACATCCCAGTGAGCAGTAATGGTGGTTACATCACTGAGGCACATGGGAAATGGCACTGTTCATGTGTGTCTGTGCTGTTTCTGTTTAACACGTTTCACCACTGATAGTCTAGCCACCAGTAAAATCTGATGGATTATTTTAGTGCTTTTATTCCTTGAATATTATTATTACTTGAAAAGTAGTTTCAGTTTCCATCTCTGAAAAATCAAAACACATGAAAGTAATTCGTAATCAAAGGAACCTGTCTCTCTCTGATGAGATTTTGATTGTGAGATTAGAATCCTGCCTTATTCGTGATGATCAAACGTGTTTAATTTTAGCTGTAATAATGTAATATGGTGATAGTGCTATGTCAGACCTCCTGGTATTTTCTCTGAAGCTGGAGCGGTGATTCCATCTGCCCTGCTTTGCACCAACTGGCTTTTATCAATCACTGGAGCAGGCCATTAGGGGCCACACAGCTGCAGTGGTCCCAGCCGTGTGAGCCCTTCATCTGACTGAGAATGTGATTGTACACACTGATTTCCCCTCTTAGATCGAGGCGACCAGCGGTGGCGACAAAAGCCCCCAGACTGAGGCATAGATTAACCTGCAGGATTCTCAGAAAAGCCACAGAAGATGTGTGGTCAGCTATCAAAAGGGCAAACTGATAAACAGGCCAGCAGCTGGGTTTCCACTGGGCAAATGAGACAAGAAGTCACCTGACCACTCTCTCCTTGTGCACAATACTCGTGCATGCTCCTCATGCACGCTCCTCGTGCACACATTGTCTAGCTAACATGTTTGACTGGTGGACAGCATGCTTGACACAGTGTAATTTGTGCGCAGGAAAAAGCACTATTATATCTGCATTTGCGCTTTATCTCATTGACTTGGCTGGGTGTGGCGTTGGTTGGCATCCAGCCAAGAGGGCTCTGATGGGTAATTGATATGCTATTGGGGCTGTTTTCGCTCAGGGGGCCATCCATTACGGCTTGGTGCATCTCCCCGTGGCGGCTGTGATAGACTGCTACGACATGTAGGAGAGATCAGCGCTGGAGGTGAGGCGCGGAGGGCGGGGGAAGTCATCGCACAATGGGGAGTGATTGAAGCGTGACATGGAGGTAATGGTGTTTTCACAGACATGGCGCTGATATCGCCATCATACCCCCATTTTAAGGCGGCCCTGACAAACATCCATTTTGGCCCAGTCCTCGTATGGCTGGAGGTAGACAGTGGCTGATTGAAACCACGCTCTGCTCAGGACAATGCCATGGCAATCGTTCTGACAGCCCCATGAGCGATATGCTGTGTGGACAACACACACTACCCATGACCTTTGCTTTGTAAATGAGTTTTAGTGAGTGCGAGGGCAGCTTTCCTTTTGCAAGCTGTAACATGTGGAACAGAAATGTATTTGAAATGCTCTTCCACGTGCTGAGGGCATGACTATAGAATCATGCAGTTTTACTGGATGCGTCCAAAATTCCGAAGCAGTTTGACTTTATTATCAATGATTAATTTGTGTCAGGATTATTAAAGATATAATGTAGTTATTTTCAACAGTTTTTTTGTGGTAACAAAATGTATTGTATTTGTGTAACAAAATAGTATTTAAACAAATCCTCCATTGAGCAGCAAGAAACTGTCCTTGTGTTTATGGTCAGGGTTTTTCCACTAAACAAAGGGAGAAGCTAAATTGAGGCGTACTTCCTCACTCCTTCTATGTAACAGAGTTGCAGAGTTGGGCATGTGAGCTGTTTTGGGGTTTGGAGTTCAGAGCATCTTGTGCGTCTGCATTCATTAGTTTGTTTGATACTGGATTAACTCCAAGCCAAACACTGAATTTAAATAGTGTAGAGAAGCAAGGTCACAGTCTCATTCATCAGGGCTGAAACATTTGAAATCCTCATGACTCCTCCACATACATGGACTAAAGTTTGATTTGCAGAACCATTAAACAGATGAATCAAAGAGTGAGCAAAAGAACATTATGAGAGCCACTTTCTGCTAGAAGCCTATTCTGCAGACACCAGTCCAAGACAGCTCGCTTTTCACAATTATACTGACTGACATATTCAATTTCATTTGCATGAAAAGGGCCATTTCCCCTCTGAATCTTTAACTTGCAGGGTGAGGTGGGGTTGTAGAGACCAATAATTAATCCTAACACATGGGGTGGCAGTTGGCAAATACTGTGCTCCATTTTGGACATACACGTGGGAGAAAGAAGCGTTTAAAGATGCCATTAACCTTGTTGGACATCTCTAAGCTGTAGCATATCAGGGCTGTAATACTGATACATTGTTTGGCCATAATTGACATAAAGTGGCCTAAAAGGAGCTCATCTTCATGTGGATAAATGTACCCAGACCCTGAGCCAGTCCTCAGGTGAGCGCAGGTACTTTCAAGTCTCTACATTTCTTTGGGAAGTTCATGATGACTGTTACTGCAGTTGACTGTGCGCTTTATAAAAACAAGCGCTTCTCCGCGGATTAATTAACTGTGCGTCTTCTGCTCAGAATTGTCTGACCCAATGCCAAGAAAGAAAATATGGAGATGGTGGATGTGAATGGAGAGATAAATACTGACTTACAAATATTGAAAAAGTGTGGAGATAAACAACACATACTAATCATGAGGACTGGCACAGCTCAACTCTCTATCTGCAGCATTACGATAAAATTCTATCTTTTGTGATGCTGGAGAAACAAACTACACATTGTATACGCTCACAAAGGGTCTAGGCAGGGAGACGGAAAAGAAACGGGAGCTTAATTAGAGCTGCTGGCTGATTTGCATTGCGAGCTCATCGGTAATCTCGCCTTAAATGGAAGCTGAAATTCTTATTGCAATTAGTGATCACTTGAAAAGGGATATGGCCCCCGAATGATGGTTAATTACAGGATCAGGAATAGTACATTAATTCAGTGCTGAGTTTTAACGCAGTGCAATGATGGGGACCTGCTCCTCCATCAATATTGTGCTGCTTGTCACACATAATGAAGTTGATAATACAAGGCTAACCCCCTCCCCAAACGCCTAAATGTGCTGTCTAAGCTAAATTCATAACACTCATTATGCTAAACTAATTCAATAGAATATACAATGCTGTTAATGACAGATTAATACTGTGGGTGCGTATGGATATTATGTTGCATCTCAGGCGGGGGTCAGAGTCTGTGTTTTGGCTCCTAAGATGCTGATGTGTTCCTATAGGGCTGCAAGAGGAATAATAAGAGTGTAATTTGTTTGCAATTTGTTTTACTCATATAATGACCACTCCAACAGCACAATATCCCTTTGTGTCGATGGGGTCAAACTTTGATTTGATGATTGGTCACCTCTATTTGAAGGTGCACTGTGTAACTTTTCTGTAGAGGGTCACTATGTCTAGCCTGATTCATCAGCTGGTTTCACTTCGTGGAAACCGTGTGACCTCGCAGCATTAGGATTTGCTCGCTCGACAGTAGGCCAGTACTTTTTTAAATTTAACCAATCGCTGCTATTTGGTCGTGACGTATGTAATGCGTCGGAATACTCAGTGGTGTCCAAGTAATTGCCGGCACAATGGCAAACAAAGCAGAGTGTGAAAATCCTCGATCTCCAACACAGAATGTTTGTCTTTGTCTGCATCCATCTCGACAGCTTTGTTTACTGTTTGCTGTACCACAAAAGGGACCCAGACAGACGCTTGAGTTTGACGTCATGGCTTCACAGCACTTCGCTGGTTGGCCGGTGCGCGGTCTACAACTTCCTTCTTGTAAACCCTCTAGTTCCGATTCCTGACCAAATTCGCTGGAGAGAAATGAAATTGAGCTGTAATGTTTAAATTATCCACAGTAGGGTGTTCAACTAATCTTCCTTGTGTTTATTCACCTACACTTGTTAATTATTGCTCAAAAACGAGGTCGCCTCTCCACAAATCTAACGTCTAATTTGGCTTGCAAGTCTCCATGAAGGTTCTTAAGTTTATGGCCATACTGTGGAATATTCTAGCCAACTCTCCATGGAAAAAAAGCAGGTGACAGATCCTCCACTGGACAAGTTATGCAGTGCACCTTTAAAAGTGTCAGTGCTAAAGGAAGTACAATCTTTGTATTTATTGTTAGGGCTGAACAATTTGTAAACATATTTCATTGTAATTAAGACTTGTAATTAGTTAAGACTTAGAGCTGATGAACTGACAAACTAATGCAAGACTCGTGTATTTCAGAGTTGCTCCACTGTGTTTTTAAACTCAATACACCTACACTAGAATCATTTGGATGATTTCAGTCCTAGAATGGCCAATCTCTACTTAACAAAGTATCTGTTAACTTGAAAACTAATTTCATGGCATCACAAGGTGGAACAGACTATTCTGAGTTTTAGAGCTGTAGCCAGATTAATAATAAATTATTACTCAAAATGTGTGAATGAAACAAAACACAACTCCAGGTATGTTTTTCAGAAGATAACATTCTAACTAGAGTAAATGTTGTGCAATATAAGACCTTTTAATCTTG